GATGAGGGGTGGTCTGTCCCCCAGGAGAGATGAGGGGTGGTCTGTCCCCCAGGAGAGATGAGGGGTGGTCTGTCCCCCAGGAGAGATGAGGGGTGATCTGTACCCCAGGAGAGATAAGGGCGTGAGCTGTACCTCAGGAAAGATGAGAGGGTGGTCTGTACCCCAGGAGGGATGAGGGAGTGGTCTGTACTCCAGGAGAGATGGGGGTGGTCTGTCCCCCAGGAGAGATGGGCGATGGTGTGTCCCCCAGGAGAGATGAGGGGTGGTCTGTACCCCAAGAGAGATGAGGGGTGGTCTGTACCCCAGGAGAGATGGGCGATGGTCTATACCCCAGGAGAAATGAAGGGGTGGTCTGTACCCCAGGAGAGATAAAAGGTGGCCCATAACACAAGGGTGATGGGGGGTGGTCTGTACCCCAGGGGCGATGGGAGGTGGTCTGCACTCCAGGGGCAATGGGGGGTGATCTGTATCTCAGGGGTGTGGGGGGTGGTCTGTACCCCAGGGACGATGGGTGGTGGTCTGTACCCCAGGGGCGATGTGTGGTGGTCTGTACCCCAGGGCTGATGGGGGGGTGGTCTGTACCCCAGGGGCGATGGGGGGGTGGTCTGTACCCCAGGGGCGATGGGGGGCTGGCATGGTCTGTGCCCCAGGAGCGATGGCTCTGTGGCTGAGTCCCGGGCTTTGCTAACAGCAGTCACCCAGACACAGGTTTTTGGAGGCCCCTGATCCCTGAGCACGTGTGCACATCTAGATCCGAGGTGTTGAAATGTCCTGTCTTTTCCACAATTGCAGGAAGCCCTTCTCACCTCAGTGTCGGAGAGCAGGCGGAGGTGACCCATGACCCGTATGAATTTCTTCAGTCTCCAGAACCTGCAGCCTCTACAAAAAGCTAGCCTTTGTAGATAGTCTTAGATTGTTTTTTATTTTTCAAGTTTTTATTTGTATGTACAGAGTTTTTGTCGTGAGACAAAGACTTTCATTTTGTCCCCTTTGGCATGCTGGGAGCAGCCCGGGGAGGTGGGGTATTGTCTCTGGTATCATGTCAGCCGCACAGGGATCAGTGTTCCTGTAGATAGCCCCCTGAATCCTGAATGGTGGAAATCACACATAAAGGATGTGACCAGATCCTGTCAAGCTGGTGTGGTGTGTCTCTGAGCTTCTCTGCGGCCAGTGTGGGGGCACCTGTTCTGCCCCATGTCCTCCACACATGGCCCTGGGAAGCAGACGTGTGTCTGTTCGTGTTCTGTTGGGCGTCCTGTGTCTTCTCTGCTCTGCTCATCCCCCGTGTCCCCACATTTCCGAGGCAGGTCGTGGTGGGGGCCACACCCTCCTGGCCCGGGACAGGCTGGGAGTGATGGCATCTTCCCCTGTTCTCTCTTTAAATCCTGTGCCTGAGGGAGGAGGACATTCTGCTGGAAGATGGTCAGCTGCCCCACTGGCTATGGTGAGGTGTTTCGTGTCCATAAAACGTTTTTTATTCTGGATATGTGTACTAGATGGCTGTTCATATTTGCAAAATATAAATATGGATCTTAATAAAAAGATACACAGTGTAATTGCATATAATTGTTTACAGCACTGCTGGATGTCCACTTTTAACTGACTTTTCAGGAAAGACCTTTGTCCTGTGAGGTTGATGGTGTCCGTTCCTCCTGGTCATCGTCCCCGCCGTCTCCTCGGCATCTCGCCTGGTTCTCGGTTCCCATGGCAGTGCCCCGTCCCTGCAGAACTGCCTGCTCCATTCCTTTAGTGTGAAAGCAGAGTTGGAGACTGCTGTCTCCCAGGGCAGGGTCGGACCTGGGGGAGGAGGTGTGTGACCGAGAGGCAGTGGCAGCGAGACAGCACCACAAAACGGCCGGCCCTGCTGGCCATAGACTGCTCACACGAGCGGGGCTGGCTGACGAGCGGTCTGGGTCAGGTAAGGATCCCCCCGCAGACGTCGGTAAAAGGGGAACGGAAACCTCACAGGTGAAGCCCCAGGAAGCCACTGTGGCTGATGTCAGCAGAGAAGGAGTTGATTAACGGGGTGTTGGCTAGTGAGCAAACACCCTGGCGGGGCGGCCCCGGGAGCACAAACTCCACAAACAGGCTGCAGAGCTGGCCCTCTGCTGGCCGCAGTGCCACCCCTGCCCTGCCAGCAAGCTGCCCTGCAGGCTCTCCCCCAGCTGCGGTGGGCCAGGAGGGGCAGAATTGGCACCTCCAGCCTCGAGATGGGGGTGGCCTCTGCCCCTAGCAGGACTCAGAAGGTCGGGTTCCCTGAACACGGGCTCGAGCTCAGGTTCTGGGTGGCATTCCCAGGGTGTGGCCTCGGGCATGGGTGCTGGAGTCACCTTCCTAGAGTCTTTGCCTCTCCCTGACCCACAGCCTGAGTTCTCCACGGCAACGCCAGCGTGACATCGAGTATAGCACACAAGCGAGCCCTGCTGAGACAGAGCGTGAGGCCCGAGAGCCCCAGACTCCCCCAAAGGGCGTGGTCTCCCCCTCGAGGTCGCGTCACACTGCGAACGTGAGAGGTGCGAACACGACCCTTGGCTGATGCTGCGGCCTCAGGAACCCGGAGCCCATAGTGCAGACGGGCAGGCCAACGTGGACAGCCTGGGGACTCTGACTCGCCAGGCACGGTCCCAGAGGACACAAGTGTAGAGGGAGGCCTACCTTGCTGCTCAGGAAGTGCACACACGTCAAGAAGGAAGATCAAGGGAGCGTCTGAGGACAGGATAACACCTTGATGTCTTTTTTAATCTTTTTATTGTGATCAAGTTCACATTGACGTGAAATCAACCATTAACCATTTTAAGGTGTGCACCTGAGTACATTTGGTACATTCACCATCTTCTGCGACCATCACCTCTATAAAACTCCAGAACATTTCTGTGACCCCAAAAGGAAACCCTGTACCCTATAGCAGCCACCCCCAGTTCCTCCCCCAGCCCCTGACAACCTGCTTTTGGTCATATGGACTTCCCTGTGGACGTTTTCTAGATGTGGGATCACACACTGTGTGGCTCTTTGTGTCTGGCTTCTTTCACTCAGCACAATGTTTTTGAGATTCATCCACGTTGTAGCATGTGTGACTGTGGGGCTAGGGCCACACACCCCGCCGGGGCGCAGGCAACTCCTGGGGGGCAGCCATGAGTCTGGGGCTTGGGCCGCCTCGCTGGGCCCTGTGCCCAAGGAAGCTGGCAGGATCCCGGCCAAGACCTGTGGACACCCTTAGTGGTCAGAATGACCCGGTGGCCAGGCTAGAGGAGGTGACCCTCAGGGCCACACTGGCCAGGCATTGGCTGCAGGCCAGCCCAGCAGGACCTCACACCACGCTACTGTCGACTCGCCAGGGAGAGGAGACCAAAGGCTGTTCCCAAGAGAGGCCGTCTGGAAGGACAATGCCGGACGATCGGAATCCGTCTTACATCTCTACTGGAAGCTACACGCAGAACAAGACCAGTGAGGGGTGTGTGCGCATGCACATGTGAGCATGTGTGCGTGCATGCTTGTGTGCCTGTGGGTGTGTGTGTGTGCATGTGTGAGTGGGGTCGTGGGAGCACCTGTGCCTGGCCTGCCTCGTGCCCCACCTCCACTCTCCTGTGTGGCCGCCCCCACCCCTCCCCACCCACCCTGACCTCCCCCACCTGCAGTGGAGACCCTTCCAGTGAGGGGTAACTTTTCAGGAAGGACCTCGAATGTGTGCACAGCAGAACTGCAGGCGGGTTCCCAGAAGCATTGTTTGTCATGGAAAGTCGCGGACGCCCTCGACTCGGGGCACGTCGACCCATCACATACGACGGAGTGTTACTACAAGCAAGGTGGATCCGTGTGAGGGGGGTGGTGCGCTGCAGTTGAGGGAACGAGCCGGTAAAGTGGGTCCAGATGATGGCTGCTCGTGTCTAAAGCCCCGTGCACGCGTTCACGCAGAGAGAAGGTCCTGCTTGCCCCAGCGAGGGCTGTGGCTTTTTGTGTTCTCTGTTCTTACGTCTATTGCCTGATGTTCATAGGTGAGCAGGCCCTGATTTTGTAGCTTCTAAAGTTATTTTCATGAAGCAAAGGCATCCCTGAGGGAGGGCAATTTTCAACAGCATGTGTGGCTGAGGTCACCCTGGCTCTGGGTCGGTCGGGAGGCCCCCGCCACCCACGGACTTGGGGTGCCCTGGGGTAGTGTGGTCTCCACCCCTCAGCCCCAGGTGGCCTCCTTCAGAGTCTCCCGGGAGCTGCCCTGGGGCCCGTCGGCCCTCGGGGGCACCTGGTGTTGAGGTCGTGGGCTGCAGCAGAATCCCTGGGGTGAGGGGCCGGGTGGCCGCCCTGCGCCATGGACGGGGCACACACGTGCGTGTCTGGAGAGGCGTGTTCTGTGCAGGAGGCAGAGACGTCATTCAGCTTCAGTTACCAGAAAGCACTTCCGAGAACTGGAGAGACCACCCTGACCAACAGCCTGAGCCATGCAACCGCTGTGTGCGGGACCTGCGACATCGCCCACCACGATCCGCAGTCTCTCAGAGGCACGTCCTTCTGGAAGTGACTGTGCCGTAGAAGGACCCCCCTCTTTCTGAGGGGCGCCCTGCCTTTGCTTTGGTTCCCAGGGTTCACAGCTCTGGCGTCCCCCGAAACCCACGGCCTCTGCTGTGTCGTTGGCTGGATCGGCGGGGATCTGAGACCTGGTTGGGCGGCCTCATTGTCTGTCCTGGGTCTCTCTGGTGGCGCCTCGGCCTGGCACCTGGTGGGCTCTGTGTTGTTGTCTTGCTGGACCCCGGGCAAGAAGGGCCTGGCCTGGGCAGCACCGTGGACAGTGGTGGCCAGCAGTGGAGGTGGCCGTCTGGTCAGCTGTGGGCGTCTTCGGGCTCCTACCTCACTTGGGCGTGGTTTCTGGGCAGAGGTCAGCGCAGCAGAGCTCTGTTGGTGCCAGCTCGGGCCTGCCCAGGCCTGCGCACAGAGGGGTGCGGGCATCCAAGGGCCGTGGGAGGCCTCCACCTGCCCCACTGCCTGGCGACCCAGCCCCCAGCCTCTTCATTCCCTGGGAGCCCTGAGGCTGGCAATCCCAGGAGAGCATCCGGGCGCTTGTCTCCTCCTGCCCACCTGTGGTCCACCAGGGTTTCCAGGATGAGTGTCCCTGTCATCCGAATGGGTACTTTGTTCCCTTGGGCCAAAGACACTGCTGCAGCATGAGGAAATGGAAGCCCAGGTGAGCGAGAGGGCCAAGGCCAGGTGGGCTGGGCAGAGCGAGACTGACCAAGACCAGAGGTCAGCCTCCGCACCAGCCCCATGGGCCTGGCGGCCCGCCGGCAGAGATCCCTGGGCGCTCCTGAGGGGCTGTCATGGTCGCGAGTCCTGTGACACATGCGCTAACTCATGGAGAAGCCCCTTCCCTCCAGACTGGCCCCAGGCCCCTGCCCAGACCTGATGGTTTCCCTTTGTTTTGTGCCTTGTACATCTGGGCCCGGCCCAGCTGCCCGTTGAGAGGCAGACCCCTGGCCACTGCAGGCACCAGGCAGCAGGGCCGCACACAGCACATTTCAGAGGAGACACAGCCAGCCTGCCGTGGCTGAGACTGCCCCCACTCAGACGGCTTCCCCAAGGAGGTGAGTGGGGCCAGGGGGGCAGGTGGAGCCCACGGGAAACCGCCTCGGCTGACGGAAAAGGGACGCGTCCCTGTCCACCCTCCGTGTCCTGCACTTGTGGGGGCCCTTCAGATTGGAGTCCTCAGACCCCACAGACAGGAACCGGAAATTTCTCCAGCTTAGGAATTGAGCCCCTGAGGGGAGACATGGGGTTGGGGAGGGGCTGTGAACCAGGGCGGTTGGCCGTCCTCGGGAGAAAACCCTTTCCTGGCACGTGGCACCGCACTTGGCACACGGTGTTCTCATGTCTCTCACTCCCCGACTCTTCTCCTGCCGTGGCGCCTTCGCGGCCACCGAGAGGGTCTCATCAGGCTCAGGGGGCAGTGTGTGCGCCACGCTCCGTGGTCTGACCCAGAGGCGCACACGTCCTGGACAGAGTGTGCGGGTCTGGGTTCCTGGAGCACAAACAGCCGACGGGGTCAAGTGTGATGAGGAAAGCTGGGCTCGACATCTGGGCCACCCGTGTGCGGTTGAAGCGGGAGGTCAGGGAGGCCCAGAGCTGACCGCTTTTTCACTGAGGGGCTGCGGTAGGAAGTGTTCTAGTCACAACTCGGGACTGGTAAAATGGACTCAGTGTGGGTGGTGCTACCGCCAGCTGCCCTGTCTGAGGCCCCCGCGCCTTCCGCATCGGGTCTCAGCAGGGTCTGTCTCACCCCCCACCCTTCCCCCCCAGCTGGCACAGGGCGTGTCTGGGGGGCCACGCCCCAGGCTTTATGAGGCGCCTTGGGTTCCATCACTGCGTGTCAACCAGGGGCCTGGCTCCTCCCCAGTTTGGCCTGAGCCAAGCATCGGATCAGACTTACCTGCGATAGTTGAGAAGAGAGAGTGCGTTCTGAGTGCGACGGAGGTGGGTTCTTCACTGCTTTCTTCTGCTCTGACCAGGGATGGCGGGTTTAACCTCTGGGCATCTGTAAAGATAGTCTAGGACTCAGCAGGACACAGAGCAAAAGGATTCCGAAACTGTCGAGATCTGTCAGATGATGGGGTCCAGAAAATAATGTTTGCACAGAGGTCACAGTGTCATAAAGACGCAGATTGGGGCGCCAGGACAGCATCCCCAGCCCGCGGCAGGTCAGCCAGGACGGGAACAGTGTGAGAAGGGATAGGCAGGAGGCGCAGGGACAGCGGTCACCATGGATTGGTCACACCCCCTGCCACCTGCCTCCATCCAAAGTCCAGAGTCTACCGAAGCTCCACGGTTGTGTTGGGGGCACAGAGGTGACAATGACCTCCTGGGATTGTTCCAGCAGTGACGTGTCTTATATGGAAACACAGACTAGAGTCCTCAGGGACAATGAAAATGAGGCAGGAACTGAAATGGGGCAAAGGGCAACCCAGGCACCATCGGGCCTCAAACGGCTAATTTCCTGAGCCCAGTGCTAGACGTCTGCCCTATAGCGAAATCATAAATGTTCCCTTTCCTTGGATTGAATCCAGAAGGATTAACTAAAACATTGATGGAGGAATAAATGAAGGGGCCCCCAATCAGATTTGGTGAGTGTGTCAGGGAGGACTTCCAGAGGAAGCGATGCCAGGACAGAGGCCCGAGAGGGGGAGGTGGCTGTTATCCGGGGGAGGGGGTCTGAGAGTGGAGCGAGATTCCAGGCTGAGGAAACAGCATGAAAAAGGTCGAGAAGTGAGAAATGAGTCCAGAAACCTAAAAGAGTGTGTGTGCGTGTGTTGTGTGTGTGTCTGGTGGTATTGTTTGTGTGGTGTTCAGTGTGTGTGGTGGTGTATGTGGTGTGTGTGAGTGTATGTGGTGTGGTATATGGTGTATGTGGTGTGTGTGTGTGTATATGTGTGTGTGTGGCGTGTGTATGTGGTGTGGTGTATGATGTACGCAGTGTGCATGTGTGTGTGTGTGGTGTGTGTGCGGTGTGCGTGTGTGGTGTGTGTGTGTGGTGTGCGTGTGTGGTGTGGTGTATGGTGTATGTGGTGTGTGTGTGTATGTGTGTGTGTGGCATGTGTGTGTGGCATGTGTATGTGGTGTGGTATATGATGTACGCAGTGTGCATGTGTGTGTGTGGTGTGTGTGTGTGGTGTGCGTGTGTGGTGTGGTGTATGGTGTACGTGGTGTGCGTGTGTGTGGTGTGTGTGTGTGTTGTGCATGTGTTCACATGCAGCAGCAATGTCAGAGCCGTGTCTCGCGCCAGGCAGGGAAGGAGTGGGTCTTCCCTGGCGCTCGCTGCTGGGGCCCGTCCGGTTCTGCCGAGCGACAGTGGGACTCCCGCTCCGTGAGAAGAGGGCAAGCGTCCCGGGCGCCTGCCGTCGCTGGTGGCCTTGGGTCCGGGGGGCAGGCCGCCCGCCGCTGTGCTGCTGCCCAGCCCTGGGTCGTCCGCTCGCCTCCGCACTCCACGTACGCTCAGCGGAGAGAGGCACAGAGGAACGGGTCTGTGCTGTGGTCAGACGGGAAGCGCGGTCTCCTCCTCCAGGCATGGACCAGGCGGGTGGAGTTCCAACTCAGGTGGGAAGCGGTATTTCCCCAAGTGAACGTCCCACGAGTGGTGGAGGTGTGGACGGAGGGGGGTGAGCTCTCACAAGCCAGGCCTGCTCTGGTCACCCCTGCAGCAACTCCCTGCCCGTCCTCAGCCGCCTGTTGCCAGACGGGGAGACCGTGGGCCACGGGGCTCTTGGAGCCCACTTTGATTGTGCCCATTTCACCCAGAAGGAAACAGAGGAAGCCCACATTTGTTGACAGCCGGGTGTTTGGTCCCAGGTTTTTTTAACTGACCTGATCTCCCAAGAGATAAGATTCTGAACTAGAGAGCCAGCCCTGATGGCCTAGAGGTTAAAGTTTGGTGCTCTCACCGCTTCGGGGGTGGGGGAGTGGGGGCCGGGATTTGTTTTCCGGGTGCCGAACCACACCACCCTCACCCCACACTCACATAGAAGAAGTGGAAGGACTTACAACTAGGAAATACAACCATGCACTGGGGCTTTGGAGAGGGGGGAAGAAAGGGGAAAACTGGCAACAGATGTTAGCTCAGTGCGGGTCTTTCCCTGCAAAAACAAAAAAGGAATTTAAACTAGAAAATACGCATTTTGCCTTTTGCACATATTTCAGACTAAGTGAAAAGAACACTTGATTTTCATTAATGGAGATGTCTGAGCAAAGACCCTGCCTGCCCATTGGGGAGGAGTGGGGTGAAGTGTGCACACACCTCCTGGCTGTGGATCCAGCCCCGGCTTCACCACCCTGTCTGCTCTCTTTCAGGTTTAAACAGGGTCTGAAGACCCCACGGCCGTCCTGCAAACCCGCAGAGCCATGATGGGGCCAGTATTCACGCCGCCCGTGCAGGTCTGAGTCCTCGTAAATCTGGGGTAAACGTGTGCCTCTCGCCCGTTGTTTTCTCCTCCCACCATATTGTGGACATTCTGTGCCTTCTGACAGGCACAGGTCAGCTCTGTGGTCAGCCGTTGCCTCAACTCCATTTCACTGTAGCTTTGATTTAGATGTAGGGTCATTTGCTCATCACTGTGGTTCCACTTCATGCCTTCCATTTTATGGGGGGTAATTTTCAGATTTGATGGAGTAAATCTTTGCAGAAAGCCTTTCAGAAAAGATGGGTTGGTGTACCTTGAGTCTTCACACGGCCAAGGCTTTTGCTCTCACACTTCAGTGATAGTTTGGCTGGGTCTCTTTTAGGTTTAAATACTCTCAGAACTTGAAGAACTGCTCTGTGTTTAAAATCTTACAAAATCTGATGCCATTACAACTTTTAGGTATCCCAGATTGTGGGTAATCTCATTCTTTTCCTTCCAGGGACACTCATAGGACTTTGCATCCTAGAAGTTCACATTTCCACCCCATGGTGTGTTTCTCTGTTTCACGTTCCTGTCTGGCTCCAGGAGCAAGCTCTAGGTCTGGGGTCCGAAATCTCCTGCAGTACAGACACCTTGTCTTCACCTTTCCCTTTGTTTCTTCTCTTACATCCTCTCTGCTTTCCTCTTCTGGAAATCCTAACAGATATTGTGTCTCCAGCTTCTATTCTCCATGTCCCTTAAATGTTCTCTCACGACTGTCACTTCTCCACCTCTCTGTTCCGAGATCTGCGATGATTCCTTGGTTTGACCCTCCAGATTCCTGGAATTTGACTTTTGGCAATGTCTTTTCTGTTAGTTGGCTCTTCCCTCTGAACGTGGTTTTTATTTGGGAATCATGCTTTAATCCCTAAGACTGCCTTTCTGTGCTCCAGTCCTCAGAACCTTGGTCTTGTCTGACAAACGGGATGTTCTCTCAGGTCTCCCTGAGAGTCTCATGTGTCCCAAGTGAGCTCGGGGCCGCTGTGGCCCCATATCCAGCTGGCGTCACACCTGGAGGAACAGCGACAACCAAGAGCAATGGCCAGCAGCTGCCATCTGCTCCTAGGAAAACCCCCCAGGGAATGCACAGCACAGGAGGAAGTCTCAGAGTACCTTTCAACATCTCTGTCTCTTCCCAGAGTAACACATTTCCATCAACAACATTTTCTGTGCGTTTTATTCTGAAGGGACAATGTGGGCTCTGCACAGGGCCTAGGGTGGCAGTGTTCTGAGCTCCTCAAGTCCCACCTCAAGTCCACATCATCCACCTCTCTCCACACTCCCAAATGCTCCTCAGTCTTCCCGACACCATTTCCCTTTCTTTCCTGGCGGCCCCTGCCCACATGACTGGCCAGAAGTGGCCACGGTGCCTCCCAGCCACTACACCTGGGCCACTCCAGGACACCTGGAGGTCCCAGAAGCCCATGGTGGGAGGTCTCCCCGGCCTGCAGAAGGAATGACACAGAAATCTCTGGAAATGTGGTCTCGCGTTCTGTTCTCAAGGGAAACTTGCAGGAAGGGTCCTCAGGGAGGGTTTCTGGTGGCTAACAGTCTGCATTTGCTGTCACCGGGGTCTCCCCTGGGATGAGGGCCTCTTATGACGCAGGTCTTCCCCCCACACCTGAAGGGGGCTTCTTATGAGTCCATACGCATTTAGGAACGAGCCCCTGGACTCATTGCTGTAGGCTGTCCCCTGGCCACGAGGGACTGGTAGCTGCCCACACCTGGGGTCCCGGTGTGTGGGTGCCCCTCCAGTCCCTCAGCCCTGTGGGCCACATACCCTCCAAGAGCTGTTTTCCACAGGCCATCATCGCCGTGGCCCGGGTGGGCTCCACAGGATTTCCTCTGATGGCCTTGCAGGGGACCCTCTGCCCGCTCCAGCCGCAGCCCCAGCCCTGACAGTTCTGCTGCCAGAAGCAGTCCCGGGCGATGGCAGGCAGTGGGTTCCCGTCCCCAGGGATCTCCCCGGCCACAAGGGGCTGTGGCAGGAGGCCCACGCCTGCCGTGCTGCTTTCCTCCATCTCGCAGGAGGGCTGCTGCAGCAGGAGTTGGAGACGGGTCGTCCCGGAAGCCGGGGCCAGCAGGCCATCGCAGATCCCGTGGCGCCAGCCGATCCGCGTGAACGGCTGGTCGAAGCCCATCCACGCCTTGCAAGTGGTGGCCTGGGTCCTGTTCCTGGTGTTGGCTTTCAGCTCCTTCAGCATCTTCATCCCCTTCCTGCCGAGGGACTGGAAATACGTCGCCTATGGTGTATCCTTTTCCTGCCTGTTGTCTAAAGCGGGGGCGTCCGAAGGACTCTGCCACCACAGCTGGCTCCCAGCTGTGCCGTGCCTGCCGGCGACGGTCTCCCTCTGCCGCTCCATCCTCTACGCTGAGTCCCCGCAAGTGTCGTCTGCCCTGCCCTCCCACCCCGGCTCCCCACTCTTCACCCCAAACACCCCCTATTGTCATGGTGCCGGAAACCCCACGTCCGTCTGTGCAGCTCGCTGGCTCGGGGCTTACACAGGAGAGTCTGCCCCTGACCCGCCGTTGGTGCAGGGAGAGTGCGCCGGGTGGTCAGGGGCCCTGGGGTGGGGGGCAGAGAGACCTGAGGAAAGGAAGGAGTGCAGACTTGGGCCACTGCGGTTTTCCCAACCACGCACTATGGGGTCTATCTGTGTCATCCAATAGAGAAGAGTGAGGTCTTTTTTTTTCAGGAACATAGATTTTTTTTTCAGGTGTACATCATTATATTTCGATTTCTGTGTACATTACATCATGTTCACCACCCAAAGGCTAATCACCATCCATCACCACACACATGTGCCCAGTCATCCCTTTCGCCCTCCTCCCTCCCCCCTTCCCCTCTGGTAACCACCAGTCCAATCTCTGTCTCTACGTGTTTGTTTGTTGTTGTTTTTCTCTTCTACTTATGAGTGAGATCATATGGTATTTGACTTTCTCCCTCTGACTTATTTCACTTTGCATAATACCCTCGATGTCCATCCGTGTTGTCACAAATGGCTGGATTTCATCGTTTCTTATGGCTGAGTAGTATTCCATTGTGTATATATACCACATCTTCCTTATCCATTCGTCCCTTGATGGGCACCTAGGTTGCCTCCAAGTCTCGGCTATGGTTAGTAATGCTGCAATGAACACAGAGGTGCATGTAATTTTAGCATTTGTGGTTTCATGTTTTTTGGATGAATACCCAGCAGCGGAACAGCTGGATCGTATGGTAGTTCTCTTCTTAATTTTTTGAGGACTCTCCATACTGTTTTCCATAGTGGCTGCACCAGTTTGCACTCCCACCAACAATTTATGCGAGTTCCCTTCTCTCCACATCCTCTCCAACGCTTATTTCTTGTCCTGTTAATTATAGCCATTCTGATGGGCATGAGGTGATATCTCATTGTAGTTTTGATTTGCATTTCCCTGACAATTAGTGATGTTGAACATCTTTTCATGTGCCTGTTGGCCATCTGTATATCTTCTTTGGAAAAACATCTGTTCAGGTCTTTTGCCCATTTTTTAATTGGGCTGTTAGTTTTTTTGCTGTTGAGATGTATGAGTTCATACATTTGGATAGTTAATTTGGATATTAACTCATCAGATATATGGTTTGCAAATATCTTCTCCCAATTGTTAGGTTGTCTTTTCGTTTTGTTGATGGTTTCCTTTGCTGTGCAGGAGGCTTTTAGTTTGATGTAGTCCCATTTGTTTATTTTTTCTATTGTTTCTCTTGCCGGGTCAGACGTGGTGCTTGAAAATACATTGCAAAGACTGATGTCGAAGAGTGTACTGCCTATGTTTTCTTCTAAAAGTTGTATGGTTTCAGGCCTTACATTCAAGTCTTTAATCCATTTTGAGTTAATTTTTGTGTATGGTGTGAGGTAATGGTCTACTTTCATTTTTTTGCGTGTGGCTGTCTAGTTTTCCCAGCACCATTTATTGAAGAGACTTGCTTTTCTCCATTGTCTGTTCTTGGCTCCCTTGTTGAAATTAGCTGTCCATAGATGTGTGGGTTTATTTCTGGGCTTTTGATTCTGTTCCGTTGATCTGTGTGTCTGTTTTTGTGCCAGTACCACGCTGTTTTGGTTACTATAGCTTTGTAGTATACTTTGAAATCAGGGAGTGTGATACCTCCAGCTTTGTTGTTTTTTCTCAGGATTGCTTTGGCTATGTGGGGTCTTTTGTTGTTCCATATAAATTTTAGGACTCTTTGTTCTATTTCTGTGAAAAATGTCATTGGAACTTTGATAGGCATTGCATTAAATCTGTAGATTGCTGGAGGAAGTATGGACATCTTAACTCTGTTAATTCTTCCAATCCAGGAGCGTGGAATATCTTTCCATTTCTTTGTGTCTTCTGCAGTTTCTTTCAACAATGTTTTATAGTTTTCAGTGTACAGATCTTTCACCTCTTTGGTTAAAAATATTCCTAGGTATTTTATTCTTTTTGTTGCAATTGTAAATGAGATTGTATTCTTAATTTCTTTCTGCTACTTTGTTGTTAGTGTATAGAAACGCAACTGATTTTTGTATGTTGATTTTGTATCCTGCAACTTTACTGTATTCATTTATTATTTCTAAAAGTTTTTTGGTGGATTATTTAGGGTTTTCTATATATAAAATCATGTCATCTGCAAATAGTGACAGTTTCACTTCTTCCTTTCCAATTTGGATCCCTTTTATTTCTTGTTCTTGCCTGACTGCTCTGGCTAGGACTTCCAGTACTATGTTAAATAAGAGTGGGGAAAGTGGGCATCCTTGTCTGGTGTCTGTTCTTAGAGGGATAGCTTTCAGTTTTTCTCCACTGAGAATGATATTAGCTGTGGGTTGGTCATATATGGCCTTCATTATATTGAGGTACTTTCCTTCTATACCCACTTTATACAGAGTTCTTATCATAAATGGATGCTGTGTCTTGTCAAATGCTTTCTCTGCATCTATTGCGATGACTATGTGATTTTTATTCTTCATTTTGTTAATGTGGATCACGTTGATTGATTTGCGGATGTTTAACCAACCCTGCATCCCTGGAATAAATCCCACTTGATCATGGTGTATGATCCTTTTAATGTATTGTTGTATTAGATTTGCTAATATTTTGTTGAGGATTTTTGCCTCCATATTCCTCAGTGATAGTGGCCTGTAATTTTTGTCTTTTGTGTTGTCCTTGTCTGGTTTTGGTATCAGGGTAATGTTGGCTTTGTAGAATGAGTTAGGAAGCTTCCCCTCCTCTTCAATTTTTTGGAAGAGTTTGAGAAGGATAGGTATTAATTCTTCTTTGAATGTTTGGTAGAATTCACCAGGGAAGCCGTCTGGTCCTGGACTTTTATTTTTGGGGAGGTTTTTGATTACTGTTTCGATCTCCTTACTGGTGACTGGTCTATTCAAATAGAATAGTGAGTTTTAATGAGGAAGGACTTTAAAAGAATGCTGAAGCCTTTATGATGGACAGCTCAAGTTTGCTCCCCGCACACCTCTGTCAAGTGCCTGCTATGGAGCCTTGTTGCCCAGGGACAGAGCTTTCCAGGTCAACCGTCACATGCCTCGCTTACGGGGTTTCACGTTTGGGATCCGCCTGTGGCTGTGCTCTATGGTGCACCCCAGAAGATGTCTGCTTTGATTTCTCGGTGGTGTGCATCAGGGTGGCGTGGGGTTCCATGTCACACCTGGCTGACCCTGGGTCCGTGGCACCTGACCAGGAAACCCTGGGACCCACTCCCAGGGTTGCCCGACATGAGAGCCAGCGGACAAGGCAAGCCTGCTGCGAAGCGGGCACTGGGACCACATTTCTCAAAGGAGGATGTTTACACCTGGGGCAAGCCTTCCTCTCAGTGAGGAAACAGTCTACACTGCCCGTCTCTGCCTAGGCCACCCCCAAGGTCCCTGGCCGAGTAAAGAGAGCCCCGGTGTGTGTGATGGTGGATCTTGGATGGGAGGGAGGATGCAGGACAGACCGAGCTGTCTCTCGGGGCCTCAGCCACCTGCCCCAGACTCTTTACTACGGCGTCTTCCAGCTTTGAGAAAGCAGAGGGAGCAGGAGGACTCAGGACCAGTCGTCAGCTTTAACAGTTAAGATTTGCCAATCTTGTTTCATCTCGCATGCCCGTACACTGGAGTATCCTTAAAAGTCCCAGACATAATGAAATTTCCCTGTAAATGCCCCAGTCTGCATCCGACAAGGGCTTTTATCTCCGTAGCCACTGTTCTGTTATCTCACCTGAAAAAATCACGTAGTAACTTACCCCTTACTCCTTAATATCAAGATCAACATTTCCCGCATTTTCTAAAGAAGCCCTTTTGCAGATGCCTGGGCCCCAGTGGGATCCCACAAGGCCCCCACCTGGCATGAGGTCACTCTGCCCTGAAGTCTCCCTGACCCCACAAGGCTCCCCATGCCCTTTGCTCCCTGGCCTTTGATTGGTCAGAGAAACCAGGGCATCTGCCTGTAGAATGTCCCCCTTGCTCTAGATTTGGCTCATTTTTTCCCTCAAAGTACTAGAGATTTCTTTGTGGTAGGTTTTCGATAATCAATTTCTTTAATAGAAATAGAGCTATTCAGCTTTTCTGTTTCATCTTGTGTCTGTTTTGGTAAGTTGTATTTTTCAAGAAATTTGAGTATTTCATCTAAATTGTGAAATTTCTTGGAATAAAGTTATTCACACTATTTCCTATTATCCTTTGAATGTCTGTGGGAGCTGTAGTGATGTGCCCTCATCATCCTTACTGGTGATGTGTGTTCTCTCCCTCCATCAGTCTTCCTGGGTTTATCACTTTTCGTAATTATTCAAAGAATCAACGTTTGGAATTGTTAATTTTCTGTTTTCTTTCTTTTTAAAGTTTTGCTTTTATTTTTACTATTTCTTTCTTTCCATTTACTTTGTGTTTACTTTGCTCCTCTTTTTCTAGCTTCTTAAGGTGGAAACTTAGGTCATTGATTTTAGACATTGTTTCTTTTTAATATATTTAAAGCTATAAATTTCCCTCTAAGCACATGCACACACAGATACACACATATGTGCAGAGACACGTGAACACATACACAGACGCTCACACACACACACGCAGAGGTGCACAGGGACCAAGGCTTTCTCCCTCAGCTGTCCCTTCTGGCTTAGAGATGAAGGGCATCTCTCAGGGATTTAGGTTCAGTTTCTGGGTCTGGGGTGCCCTGTGCAGCTGTGGTTCCCCTGATCTGGCCCCATCTGTCTGAAGGTCTGCAAAGGGCTGGGTCCAGCTGGTTGGGCAGGGGATCCTTGC